ACTAGCTGCATGACCTTGGCTAAATCACTTAAACCTCTGTTTGCCTCAGTTTCCTCAATGGCAAAATAATAATAATAATAGCACCTACCTCCCAGAGCTGTTATGAGGATGAAATCAGACAATATTTGTAAAGTGTCTGGCACACAGGAGGTACTATATAAATGCAACCTTATTACTAATTCTATTTCTACCCTGCCGTTGTTCCACCCTCCAAACCAGACTTTTAGAAACTGTGCCCGAAGAAGCTAGGCTATTCCAAACTGGGACCATGACCCCCCCCTCCCCCCCCACACACACAATCTACCTCCAGCTCTAAGAACTGTTATCAAATTGACATTACCAGGGCCTCTGCCCAAGACATCTACGAGGATTACCTGAAAGTTCTCCTCACCAAACCAGTGACTTCCCACGTGCAAACACTGCCCTCACCTCCACTCCCTCATTGGAGTGTAAGCTCCTTGAGAGCAGAGACTGATGCCTTTTCTATTGTACCCCCAGCACTTAGCACAAAATTTGGTACATAGCAAAGATGAAGACAGCTAGCAGGCACAATGATCAGTGAGCCAGACTTGGAGTTGGAAAGACCTGAGTTCAAATCTAGCCTCCGACACTTACTAGCTGGGTGACCCTGGGTAAGTCCCTTCACCCTGTTTGCCTCAGTTCCCTCATCTGTAAAATAAGCCAGAGAAGGAAATGGCAAACCAGTCCAGTATCTCTGCCAAGAAAACCCCAAATGGGGTCATGAAGAGTAAGAGATACTAAAAAACAAATGAACAACAAGAGTTCTTCAATATTAATACTTGCATAGCCGAATTAGATAACATATGCAAAGTGTTTTGCAAACCTCAGTGCCCATAAGTGCTGTGGCTGTTCAGTCACTTTCAGTCACGTCTGACTCTCCGTGACCCCATTTGGGATTTTCTTGACAAAAATAATGGAGTGGTTTTGTCATTTCTTTCTCCAGCTCTCAGGTGAGGAACTGAGGCAAACAGGATTAAGTGACTTGCCCAAGGTCACACAGCTAGCCAGATTTGAAATCAGGAAGAGAACATAAATGCTAGTGATTATTAAATTGAATTTTTTTATTTGTTAGAGAAATCTGGGTTGTAGAAATAGCCTCCACGCAATCCATGTAAAACCAAAGCATGAAGGAAAAAAATGATACTGTCAGTATCGAAACCTTCCAGGCATCAGGCACGACACAGATACTACTCTGCTATCCCCCAGAGACAGAAATCACAGCAATGTGCAACCGAATCCCATGCATGGGAATGATGAGCTAAGGCAGCAGTTCTCAAACTTTCTGGTCTCAGGACCCCCTTCACACTCTTAAAAATTATCAAGGACCCCCAAAAGAGCTTTTGTTAGTGAATCAATAAATGTTTATTAAGCACCTACTATGTGCCAGGCACTGTTCAAAGCACTTCTGTTTATGCAGGTTATATAGATTGATTTTTATCATATTCAAAATAAAAATTTATTATGATAATGAAGATAGTTTTTACCTTGCAGACCTCCCTGTAAATGTCTCAGGAACTCCCAGGGGTTCCCAGACCACAGTGTGAGATCTGCTAAGTAAGAGGATGTCAGTATAAAGCATCGGGTGTACATGTTCTCCCTCAAAAGATGACAACTGAGGCCATCAAACAAGAAAGCACTTTCTGAGTGCTTGTATGGGAGTGGGCCTACCGTGAAGCAGCTCACTCAAGTCCCACAAATTGGGAAAGACCAATCTGAAGTAATGAAAAATATAAAGAGGCCTTTTTAAGGCACACTGGGTTAATACTTTCAAGTATGTACACTGATTTGAACTAGGACAACCTAATCTCAATGGAGGGTCCTTAAGAAGCCACTTTAGTGAGTAATGATTTGTAATTGGCATAACAATTATTTCTAAATACATGTATAAATATTATATATATGTTTCTAAAGTGCTTGGTGTCTTTTTAAAACACACTCAAGTCAAAATGCTCAGTGAAATCTTGCTTATACTGTTTGCTTAGCTCCCCCTTCAGAAACAGAACAAAGCTAAATTTCAGTTCAACCTCAATTCAAATGTCACAAATTTCGAAAGGGTGAGGTCCAAAAGAAATGAGGTTATATCCTATTAGGGACCTTAGATGTGATCCAGTCTGACCTCCTCATTTTCCAGATGAGGACACTAAAGCCCTGGGGGGTGACTTACTCAATATCAGAGCATTAAGTAGCAAAGCTGGGATTCAATGCAAGTCTGACCCCAGAATCTAAACCCACCATTTGGGTACGCTGAATCCTAGGTTTACGTTGTTCACTAAATTATTCATAATGTTTCATATTCATACAGTTCATAATATTTTCTCCTGTTCCCTAAAATTCACTAAAATTTGAGATTCTTTATTATTCTGAGCTCCTTACTGGGGAAGAAACTCATTACACCGTGAAATTTGATGAAGTCTTTCTTTGTGGACAAGAGCACAGGAGTAGCAATAGTATGGCTAGGCAGATTCACAATTGGCCCCAAAGAGTCACTGATGGATCCCCAGCAATGGGGAAGGAAGTCTTTGGAGGATCACTCAGGAATCTGCCCTTGGCCTTCTGCTCATCAGATTTAAAATTGGAAGAAAACCTTGAGATGGAGAGGAAGGGCCGGCAGGAATCACGCTTCTTTCTCTGGACTTTGCCCCTGATGTTTCAGCCTTCTCCCATTGCAGAGTTCTTCCTGGAGCCTCCATTTTGCTCTCCTTTATTCTCCAGGCTTGACCATCTCGCTCCCAGCTCCACCCTCTTTCCAGCTCCTTTTTTATGTTGCCATCCCCTATTAGAATGTAGGTTCCTTGAGGGCAAGGATTAGCTTTCTTTTTTTTGGTTTGTATTTCTTATCCCCATCACTTCGTTCCTTTTCTAGCTCTCTTAAGGGTTGTCTTCTTTCCCCATAAGAATCTAAGTTCCTTGAGGGCAGGGATTGTTTGCATTTGTTTTTGTTTGTTTGTTTGTTTGTTTTTTGTTGGGTTTTTTTTTGCATTTTGTTTGTATTTGTATCCCCAGTCCTTAGCACAATGCCTGACACCTAATAAATGTTTGCTGACTTCAATGGATCGAGCCCTTTGTTTCATAAATAAATTGATACCCAGGTAAGGGAAACGACCTACCCAGTCACACAGGTGCCCGTTCAGAAACTACAGCAGAGCCAAGATTTGGGTTAGAGGTTCCAGCATGATTTCACTACACCAGCAGTTCAATTTTCACCAATGACTTGAATAAGGGAATGAACGTTTATAAAATTTGCGGATAACAGAAAGCTCAAAACGATATCTCACACTGGCTGACAGGATCCCAAAGGAGGCTGACAGGAGAGGACAACGGGCTGAATATAACAAGACTGAGTTTAAAAGGGATAAACGTGTAAATGGGCAAACAAACGACTTCACAAGTGAAAATGGGGCCGGATGAATCTGAGCGGAAACAAAAACCCAGAGGGTGTTAGTGAACTTGAGGTTCAGTGAGCATCAGCCCTGAGAGGCAGGAGCCGGAGGAGCTGGAAGGATCTTAGGCTACATTCACAAAGAATTAGGGACCGGAACATTCCATAAAACTTCCCCAGGATCAGAACCCATCGGAGACACCAGCACGTCCAATTCTGGTGCCATACCGATAAATGAGTGCATCCAGCCAGAGGCAAGAGATCATGCTAAAGAGGGGACTGGTGACCACTCCAAGAGAGCTGCCCGAAGGAAGCGGGAACTTTGGCGTAGAGGGCAGTAGGGAGAAGGGGGCATGAGCCGGACATCATTAAGTATTTCGAGAGATATTCTTAGGCCCAGAAGGCAGAACCTGGGGCAGTATGAGAAAAGTGAAGGGCGGCACATTTCAAGTTGATGTAAAAATAAATAAATGAATGAATGAATGAATGAATGAATGAATGAATGAATTAATATATGAATGAATGAATGAATGAATGAATGAATGAAACTCTTCCTAATAATGAGCGCTGCCAATAACAATGAGCGCTGCAGGATAATCGGCCAAACAACAAGCATTTATTCAGCGTCTACGTGGGCCAGACACTGCGTTCAGGACACAAAGAGGGACAAAAGAGTTTCTCAAGGAACTCACAAGCCTGGAGGCCCTTAGAGGCCGGGCCCTTGTCAGGGAGGCTGTAGAGGTAGGTCCAGTTCAGGTACGGACTGGATCGGATCGGATTGGATCGGATGGCAAGGCCAATCAGGTCCAACCCCGTCTGTGAGACCACATTCTCTCCTTCCCCGTTCTCCCAACCAAGTGCAGTGAAGGTGCACAAAACTGGCGATTTTAAAGCACCTACTGCGTGCCAGTCTGAACTACAAGGGAACCCCAAGCAGCGTGGTGAAGTCAAAAGAGCAACGGATTTTGACGGAAAGGACTTGGGTTCCAGTCCCAAGTAAATGACCTTGGTGAATTCACTTCTCTGGACCTCAGTTCCATCTGCAAGATAAATTGCACTGACAATTACGATCCTTTCTACCTCCAAATCCGACGTAAACAGCTGCTTAAACCCTATTCATGGAAGTAATCTTTTCATGATGCTGTAAGTTACTCTCAGATCCCAGAGTTCCTTCATTTGGAAATTTCCCTCCCAGCTGCAGATAGCAAACCATCCTAAGTGACTCATGCCCTCCCGTAAGTTCATCCCAAGGGGTCCACCCAACGTGCTGCAGACAGTCCTTGTCTTCTCCTGATATCACAAGGACATGAGTACAACATTCTGGCTTTCCACCCACCCGTTATCCAATGCCCTCCCCACTGACTGGCCCATCTGCTCCTCCTTTTACAGACGGGGAAACTGAGGCCCAGAACTGGAAGGAGCTTGCATTTGAAGCCAGGGCTCCCTCCCTCCCGGCCCCCCCGCTGGTGGGGTCGGGGCAGGGCAGGCACTAGGACCCGGGGGAGGGAGAGGGAGCGCGGGCGGCTGCGATAAATATAGCACGCGGGAGGGGCGGGCGGCGGGGCAGCCCAGGTTCCGCTCGGCCTCCTCCCTACCGGGTATGGACGCGGAGCCGGCAGCTCCGGCAGGAGGCCCGGCGGAGGCCACGAGCTCGGAGGCCGGACGGCGGCTCGCGCGGGTCACGCCGTGGCTGCTCCTGGGCTCCGCGCGCGCCGCCGCGGACGCGGAGGTGCTGGCGCGCGAGCGCGTCACGTTCTGCGTCAACGTGACCCGGCAGCAGCCGTGCCCGCGCGCGCCCGGCGTGCGCACGCTGCGCGTGCCCATCTTCGACGACCCGGCCGAGGACCTGCTGACGCACCTGGAGCCCTGCTGCGCCGCCCTGGAGGCGGCCGCGCGCGCCGGCGGCACGTGCCTCGTGTACTGCAAGAACGGCCGCAGCCGCTCCGCCGCAGTGTGCACCGCCTATCTCATGCGGCACGGCGGCCTCAGCCTGGAGCAGGCCTTCCAGGTGGGCGGGGCCGGCGCGGGTAGGGGTGGGGCTTTGGGTGATTGGCCCGGGCGGGAGAAGGGGCGGGGCCGGACCCAGTAGGGGCAGGACTGGAGCGAGGAGGGGCGGGGCTTGGGGCGGGGCTTTGAGTAAGGGGGCGGAGTGAACCTGGGGTGGTGGGCAGGCCTTGTGGTGTGGGGGCGGGGCTAGGGCGGGGCTTCGCGTCCCCTAGGGGGTGGGGCCTCGGGAAGGCTGCCCTGGGTCTCTGGACGGGAAGAGTAGGGAGACTGCTCACCGGCTCCGACGCAGCGTGTTCCCCCGCCCGTGTTGTTTCCTTCGCCCCAAGACTCAGAGAGGGGAGATCTCCCGTGGTGGGTGCAGGGCCAGTCCTCCGGGCGTCCTCCAAGCCCTGGCCGCCGGCCTCTGCCTAGCCACGCCTCCAAACGGGCAGAACTGAGCCCAGAAGGAAGGGGGTGCTGCCGGGGTCCCCCCACTTGCTTCACGTGCGTGTCCGCCCCTCCAGGTGGTGAAGAAGGCCCGGCCCGTGGCCGAGCCCAACCCGGGCTTCTGGGCTCAGCTGCAGAAGTACGAGGACACCCTCCAGAAACGACCCCCCGGGACGAACACCCCCCAAGCCGCAGCCGGAGACCGTCCTTAGCGTGGCCTGTTCTCCCACCCGGGACCGTGACCGTGGGACGAACCTGGAGCAGAGCCCGGGGGGGAGGGAGGAGCCAGAGCCATCCCCAGGGTTCGAAGGGGTACCCTGGAGCAGAAGTGTGACTTAACCGAAGTGTTGAGGACTGCCGAGGGTACGAGATCGGAACCGAGAGCTGAAGGCAGAAGTCCTGGTCGTGAACCCAGGCTCTGGCCCCAGCTGCTTGGTGGAACCTGGGGGGAAACTCTCTCTGCCTCAGTTTCTGTATCTGTACAATGAAGGGAGGAACCAAATGGCCATTCCCTCCAAGTTCGAGACTCTCCACTTGGACTGCTTTCTGGAATCCCAAGGCAGGGGTGGAGAGGCAGGGTTGGGAGGAATCCCATAGGGTCTTAAAAAACAAAATCAGACCTGTGATCTCTACAGAATAGGGAGCCTCCTGGAAGAATGCCGCAGCATCTTCTCAATCTGAGAAAGTTGCCTGGGGCACTGAGAAATTTGGTGACTTGCCCAGGGTCACACAGCCTGTAAGTGTCAGAAACAGAACCCAGGTCTTCCCAACTTGGAGCCATCAGGCCATCTTACTCTCCATTACCTACCAGCTACCAGCCTTTCTGCTTGATGGAGGAATCTGGCCATTGGCTCTCCAACTCTGAGTCTGGCTTCTCATCTATTATCCAAACAGACCAGAGCTGCATTGGTGTTTAACCCTTAACAAGCTGGGTGATCCTCAGCAAGTGGGCACTTCCTGCATGGTTAGCGGTTTGTTATTATACACTCGAATATGTGTCCTCTGTGCCACATTGCAAATGAAATTGAATAGAGATAAATGTCTTGTTGTTTTTGTTTTGTTGGTGTTTTTTGGTGGTTGTTTGTTTTTTTTTTTAACTCAGGAAGTACAAGACCAAGGAAGAGGGTTGCTAACATGGTCAGAGTTATTCACACAAAAGAGGTTTTTGGAAGACTACAGACTCATCAAGAGTGTGACATAGCAGTCCCCCCAGAAAAGATGAAGTGATCTTAACAGAAGCACAATATCCTGGGGGAGAAAGATCATAGTCCTGTTGGACTCTGCGTTGTCCATTTTAGCATTGAGTTTATGTTGGGAAAGACGTTGAATCAATGGGCAGAAGAGTCTGCTTGACAGAAGGAAAAACTTTTTAGCAATCATGAAGATAAATGGTACTCCTCCCACTTTCTAGAAAACTTAGCCATAAATCATGGTCTCCAATCCAACACTAGGTGGGCATTCCAGGCGAATAAACTCCCATCGCTCCCTCTGTAATTATATTCACCAAAGGCTGATAGGGGCTTTCAAGGGATGGATGGCCCCCTAAACCCAGGGTGGCCCAGTCCTATGTGGAATAGATGCATCCTGAGTTCCACCAGGCTTTACTATCTACCACGAGACTAGATCCTCCAACACCGCCATCTGACCTGCAGATGAAGCCCCAGAGCGCTTGGACCTTCCAGTTCACTGCTTCTGGTCCCTTCGGAGGACTGAGCCTTTCCATCTGCCCTGCCTTGGAATCCTAAATGCCTTGTCTCATCCAATCAGAATGCAGACTACTTAAGGGCAGGGATCGTTTCCATTTTTTTTTTTAATCCCCAGTGTTTAACACAGTAGTAAGTGCTTAATGCGTTTTCATTCATTCAGCAAATCCTTGGTCCATTTCTTGTCTTTGGCATCCTTGTCTGTCCACAAGGGGTCTCTCCAGGTCCATTTTCCATTCAGGGAGAGCTGCATTGATGCCTCATGACCGTCACTCGAGAGCAGTCATCCCCTCTCCTCTACCTCAGCCCCTTCTTTCTTCATTTAAGTGTTTCTGGGTATTGGATCCTGAGCTGCCGCTCTTCTCTTCCTCAGGGCACTGCTGATCACATTCGCTCTTCTGAGGGCAGTAGATGCCTCAGGAAAAAGTCTTGTCTTTGGGTCTTTGATCTACCATCCAAGACCATGACCCCTGCTTCTGATGGAACCAGAAGCGTCTCACCATTCCCTCAACTGCCCACCTCTGTACTTTTAGGGAAGAACTCTGGCTGTGGAGTTAGCCATGGGTACAAATTAATAATAACTAACAGTTAGTGCTTCCTATGTGCCAGGCACTGTGCTAGGTGCTTTACAATTATCTCATTTTCTCTTCACAATAACTCTGGGAGGTAGGTGCTATTATTATCCCCATTTTACAGATGAGGAAACTGAGGCAAACAGGTTCAGCAACTTGCCCAGGGTCACACAGCTAGTAAGTGTCTGAGGCAGGATCTGACATCTAGTCTATTTGACTCCAGGCCTGGTGCTCTAACTGCTGTGCAACCTAGCTAGCCTAATATCTGTGGGACCTTGAGCAAGTCAGCGAACTATTCTGGGCCTCAGTTCCTTCATCTTAAAAGGGGAGGGGGTCCGAGGCTGGACTAAATGGCCTCTGGCGCCCCCTCCAGCCCTAAATCTGTGATCTTCATTCTGCCCAGAATGCCTCACATAGCCCCTTTCCCATCCCAGCCTTCCCTGATGCCCTTCCCCACCCCAATCATTTCCCCATTAATCTCACTCAGTACTTTACATCTTTTTTAAAAATTAATTTTATTGATATCACATTTTTACCTCACCTGCATTCCTACTGTATCTATCCCCCTACTCTCTCCCAGATAGCCATCCTTTCTAATATTTAAAAAAAAAAAACTTCAGAAGAATAAAACAACATATTGACAATTTTTGAGGTTACATTCAGCGTTCCGATCCTGTGTTCTCCCACTTCTGCAAAGCAGGGGGTGGGGGGGTGGGGTGTTCTGTTTCTTCTTTGAGGCCAACCTTGTTCAGGATAATTTTGCAGCATTATTTCATTTTCTTCCTGTTCTTTCATATTGTCATAGACACCCCTGCTTCTGGCATGTTAGAAGGGTGTGCTGGCTGATCCAGCGTCCACGTCTTATGGTTTCTACATCATCTTCATTAAGAAGTTTAGTCCGAAACTAAACAGATCTCAGAGAATGGACTGGCTTTAAGGGGTGAGGCAGCAGGGACGGAAGAGCTCAAAAGACAGGTTTCTTGGGTTGGCTGAATCACAGAAGAGCGGACATGATCCTGGTGTGGATAAGTTAAAAGGGCTGATAGCCTTCTCCACTGGGAGGGGACGGGCATTCAGAAGAGCAGTTTAGAAGGGCAGGAGATGGAAACAGCTGAGACCCACAGCTGGCACAGCAGCAGATGAGGAAACTGAGGCAGAGGTGAAGCTTCTGACCCCAACTCCAGGCCACGGTGTCCAGAGCTGCTCTGTCCCTAGGGTTCTCTGGGGAAATGGAAGGTGGGGGGCTGCGGGCTCTGAAGCTGTGCACACAACGTTCAGTACCGCTCATGGATAACGGCACAGCGGTCACCTAGGACCGTGCTGACTCAAGCATGTTTGCGCGTTTCCCTAGAGACAGAAGCCGCCCTCTCGTCTCCCTGGAAACAGAGCCCGCCCTCCCCCTCCCCCCCTCCGCCCAGACGAATCCAGTCGGATCTGTTCCCTCCGCTGCCGCCAGGGGGCGAGGACGCCGGCAGAGAAGGGGAACGGGGCGGGGCGGGGCGGGGCGGGAGGAAGCACGCCCCGGAAGTGCAAGAGGCGGCGGAGGAAGGGGTGGGACATGGGGGGCGGAGGTCGGGAAGATGGCGTGGAGAGCCTGGGCTCGGAGCGGCTGGGGCTGCGGCAGCCCGGCGTGGGGGGCGCCGGGGGCCGAGGGCCGGGAGCTGTGCGCCGGCCGGGCCCCTGCCCTGCTGCTGGGCCCCAGGTAAGGGCGGGGCCGAGGCTGGGCGCGGCCTGGGCGCCCGGCTCCCTTGCTCTCCCCCACCCCACCCCCGTCCTGATGACCCGACTCCTAACCCCTGACCCCCGCACCCTGACCCCTGCCTCCCCGCTTCTCGCTCCGCGCCCTGGAGGGACCCCCTCCCCCCCGTCTCCAGCACCGGACCTAGAGCTGACCCCGTCCCAGCCCCTAGTTGTGCAGAGGGAGAAACTGAGGCCCAGAGAGGCTCGTGACCGGCCCAAGGTCACTCAGCCCTCCACCTTCAGAACCCTACCCCGCCCCGCTCTGCCCGGACCCCTCCCCAGGATAGTTCCCATCATGTCTTACTGTCTCCTTCTCTCTCTCAAACGAGATATTTGTGCACATGGTACGTAGTTGGTGCTTAATAAATGCTTGTTCTTTCCCCCTTCTCTCTCCTAGTTCTCTCCTCTGTCCTCCCCGTTCTCCTTTGTGCATAATTCAGTTCATTGAGCAAGTATTAAGAGCCTGCTGTGTGCGTGGGACTCTGCCAGGGCCTCGGAGGGGCGCTTACGAGTAAACAGCAGGCGTACATAGGAGTAAGTAGAGGCCGAGTGATTCATGGCGTGGAGGGGGTAGCCTGTGCAAAGGCATGGAGGTGGGAGATGAAATGTCAGCTCACGTGAGCAGAGCGTCGGGAGATAAAGTGGAAAAAGAGACGAGGACTGAGTGCAAGGATAGTTCCTTTGTAAAATTAAATTAGTGTTTTAGGAATGCACACTTGGAGGCTGTGTGCATGCAGGGTGGGCTGGAGAGGAGAGAGACTGGAAGCAGAGAGATCAGTTAGGAACCTGTTGGAATAGTCCAGGTGAGAGGGGAGGGGGAAGGATGCCAGAGATGTGAAGATAGGGTGGACGGAATCTGCCCTGGAGGTGAGACTGGCCTCTCTCTGGACAAGGCTCGTGGGTTGGACTGGAGACTCCTGAAGGTGTCTCTTCCAAGCCTGACGCTGGGGCTAGGGTATTATTCCAGGGGGAGAAAATGAGACAGAACAAGTTTGAGCAGTAAGAGGCAGAGTTCTCAGCCAAGCCAGCTTCACGGGGACTGTTAGGGCGTTTACCAGTGCGGACTCTTAGAAGTCCACTCCACATTTCCTGCCCTGGTGGAGAGAGAATACGCTGGCCAAACTTGCCTTTGAACTGCAATCAGAGATGTTGACAGCGGTATTCTTGGCCACTCATTCCTGGCCTCTCTCCCTTTTGTTGTTGGCCAGTGAGCCAACTGGGTCAGGGTGCAAAGGAAATCTCTTAGTCTTGGGCAGTTCACAAATTGGATTACAGGTAGTTGGAAGTCGATGGTACAATATAACATTAGACTTTGGACACTTTCTTCTCTCTGATGTTGGTGCTATAACATGATGGTGAGGTGGAGGAAGAAACTGAGGGACCAAAAAAAGATCAGTGCCTTACTGAGTGGTGGAAAAGGTCAGAGATGGCAGCAAACTTTGATCGGATTGAATCCCTGAGTTTGCCCTAAATTCCTGTCCATTGTGTTCATTTGGCTTTAGCTTCTAGAATAGCCATAGAAGTACAGTAAAAAAACCCTCAAGTGGATAGAGTGCCTGGTGTCCAGCTGTCCAGCATGCAGCTGGGGACTGCCTGTTAAGCGGGTCCGTCAGCATGTAGGTGCTGGACAGACACAGCCAACGGGGAGCAAAGCAGGCAGACCCAGAATGAACGGGGAAAAAAGCAAACGCCTGCATTTGCGAGATTACTTGATACAGTAAGAATCCCAAGTTTTTCCCAGAAGCAAAGGTGCATCCGTTGTTAAAACACCGCGAGCCAGATGTTGCGTTCCTGTGCTGTTCTAGCTGTAGTTTACGAAGCACTCGGCCTTTGTTCTGTGTGACCCCTATGGTCTCTGCCAGCTCTCAGTTCTGTGATCCGCACAACAAACCCGTGAGGTTTTTATTGAGACAGAGAAACCAGAGTCAGCATAGCCCTTCCTCTTGGGGCCACTCAGTGCAAAAGGCAAGATTAGAACCCAGATCTCATAGTTCCCAGGCTGTTGC